CCTTTTTTTTTTTCCCCCCCCCCCCCCTTTCATAGTCAATTCGGCTTCAGTGCAAGCTTAGTCATAATAGTCTGTTCAACTCTCAGAGGTGAATGACTGATGCTTTATCCATTAACACATCTTTCACTTTCCAAACAAATTTAGCCATTTCAAATCCAAGAGGAAGATTGAAGGTGACTCTGTACACGCTTAGTTGGAGAGGTTAGCTTTAAAAGGTAGAAACAATTTTCCTGTCACAGACGGGATATGTATGTCTGTGTGGGTGACTGAATTCAAACACTAACTTAAATACGCAACAGACATCCTCTGAAATTCATCATGTAACACAATGGCCCAGTTTGTGTAGCTTACTAAAAGGGTTTATGGTCCAATTGAAATAGAAAGGGAGATTTTTCATTCCTTCATGAACGAGGAAAAGATACCTGCAAGTTCTCTGAAGGATAATGTAGCACATGATAGATAATGGTCAGCCTTTTCAGGTTGTTATATCAGTGCCAATGGTTAACAGAGTGACCCTGGGGAAGAGAAATACTGTAGACCAGGCCTGTGTGAATAGGGAAGTATTTGATTTGGATTTTGCCAATTCGGAGGACTGTGATTCGATTTGGAGATTTGGATCACCGTCCTGAATTGATTCGGTTGGATCAGCTTCAGAAGATTTGGTGCTGATTCAGAGAAATTTGGTGATTTGGATCGGGCAGGGAGAGTCAGACGCAGCCAAGTGGCTGCAGGTTTTCCCGCAGCTCCTTTGGCTGTGCCTGCCTCTCCCCAGGTGGGGGGAGCCACAGAAGAAGCCCCCATGGCTGCCCTGCCCTGCCCAGCGCCACCCCCCGCCCGACCCTAGCCTCCTGGCAGTTTAAAAAAAAATTCCCAAAACCCTGCACTCACCGGCAGCAGGAGTGGTGATTGGGGCCTTTGGGTGCTTGTGGCAGAGCCCTCCCACCCTGCTTGTGCAGCACAGGGCAGTGGGGACCGCCCCCCCACCTGTGCTGCAGCTGCCCCATGGCACGGCTGCAGCACAGCTCAACAGGTGCTGCACACTGTCTGGGAGCCGGGGCTGAACACTTTGGGCTCTGGCTGAGACGTGAAGCTGCCCCAGCTCCCAGGCGAATTGAACCGGGAGCTGGGGAATTGAACCAGGGGCTGGGGTAATATTCAGATCCCTGAACATTGCCCCAGTTCCCAATTTGATTTTGCAACTCCCCAGTCTTTCCCCCAGTTCTCTGATTGCTTCCCCCAACTCTTCCCAGGGGGCATGGGCCCCTGGATGATACAGGATGACAGCAGGCTGCCACTGCCAGTTGGTGATGGCAGTGGTTCTGGGCTATTTCACCAGCCAGAAGCAGCAGCCTGCTGAAAGCCCGCGAGCAGATCTGGGGGCCACGGCCCCTGGGAAGAGCTGGGGGAATGATCAGAGAGCTGGGGAATCAAACTGGGAGCTCCAGCTCATGAGGGGGATGGCAGTCCCCACTGCCCCATGCTGCATGGGGGGTGCTCTGCTACAAGTGCCCAGAGGCCCCCAATTGCTGTTGCCAGAGCTGGTGAACCCAGGGCTTTTCTTTTTTTTTTTTTTTTTTTAAAGTGCTGGGAGGCTGGGCCAGGCAGGGGATGTGGCTGGGCAGGGCACCCATGGGGGCTTCTCCCATGGCTCCTCTGGCTGTAACTGCCTCTGCCCTAGTGGGGGGGAGGGGTCACAGGGCTCTGCCCTGCTGCTACTTGCCCAGACTATTTGGGGGGGAGGGACATGATGCAGGCATGGCTTGCTCTGGGCAGCAGTAGTGTGTAGCCCCCACTCCCAGTGCTGCCACGCCCACATCAGCACTGGGAGTGGGGGCTCTGTCCTGCCACCACTTGCCAGCCAGTATGGGGAGCATGGGATGTGGGTGCAGCAGTGCTGGGAGTGGGGGCCATGCCCTGTTGCCACTTGCCCCCTTCTGCCTGGAGTGAGCTGCGCCCACATCCTGCCCCCCCCCAGCCCCACCTGGGCAAGCAGCAGCAGGGCAGAGCTCCCAGTCCCAGTACTGCCTCACCCACATCCCACGCCCCTCCCTCCTCCCCGAGTAACGTGCCCCCCACCCCAGCTGAGCAGCTTGTCCCAGCCCCAGCCCCAATCCCTCCCTCCTCCACACCCCTTTCCTCCCCACTCCCCCAACTCCAACAGACTTACCAACTGGAGGCAGCTGTCAGCTGCTTGTTTAGTCTATGGCCGAATCTCCAAATTGGCCAAATCTTTTTCTGAAGCTTTTCTGAATTGATTCGGATGCTTTTACTTGGTCTCCCAATTAGATTCATATTTGGAGATTCAGTCCCTGAATTGGGCCGAATCTCATCCGAATCTAATCAGCTACCGAAGCTTCGCACAGCCCTACTGTAGAAGTTTTGAAGAGTTGTCATGTTACAGTTTAATGACGTCATTAGGTTTCCCCTCTATTGATAGGAGCCAGCAAGCACCCATCTTAGTCAAATACATTGGCAAAACCAGGGAGTGTCACATAAACCTTTCATAATAATGCTTCCCTTGCTTGGTATAACATTAAGTAAAGGAGTAAGTTATTCATAAATGGTCAGAGATATAGCAGCATGTGAGTTCTTAGATGAAGAACTTGTAAGAATTATCCCTGAGCTCTTAAAGGCCCTGTATTACAATGATATAGTAAAGAAAGCCAAAGCATGTTCTTGTTGTTATGAAGTTTGACTTATCACAACTACACTTTTGCTGGGAGAAAATGGGCAAAATTGATTGTGATATTAGTTTTACAGAATTTCATCAGTTAATGTTTGCTTTGAAAGCCCAGACATGGACTTGACTAGTTTTATCTAATCACTCAAACCTGGATGAGGGGAGCCTTTGAGGTAAATTACACTGCTTAACTCTGGATAAAGCAGCTTCTCAGACACAATGACCCTACCAGTCAGACTGCAGTTTGGGATGAACTAAGCCAAATCCAAGCCTGGTGTAATCATGGTTGACATCAATGACCCAAAACTTTTTGGTAATGTACATCAGTACAGTTTAGGATTCATCAGTAGGAAATTAAAAACAAGGCTTCACATTTACCAAGAGGATGGTATCTGTTGTGTAACTGATCCCACAGAAAGCGACCATCTACCAAGCCTGTTAAAATCACATGGCTCCCTTTGGGAAGATGAGAGTCTAGATACTGCAGCATTTCCATGACATTGGAGTGCATTTGCTTTGGTGTTGTCATGTAAGCTACTGTGTCAGGTCTCCTACAAATAAAAGAAAGGGCAGACAGTTTATCCAGTGACATGCTTATAAAATGAAGGCTGAAAGAGCCCCACAGTTTTAGGTAAGGCTTCTCCATATTATATTAGCTAATTAAAATCAAAAGATAACTATATTGTTTAGCTCTGGTTTGTCATTGTATTCTTAAATCCTCAACAAAATAAAAAGAACAGGTCATAAAAAGTGCATGCCTTCCTGCCCTTTTATATACAGAGCTCTCCATATAAAAGGACCTGATTCTGTTCTCACTTACACCGTTCTTACTATGAAGCAACTTCCTTGAATTCAGTTCAGTTTCTTTTATTAAGACCACAGAGGGGGGAATGTGGGGCAGACTAGATCATCAGAATAGTCTCTTGCATGTGAAAAATCCACAAATTTCTACCAAGGGCACCTGGTACCTTAATCCTGGTAGCTATTTCAAATTCATTAGGAAAAAGTAATCTTACAATTTGGGCTGGAGAACATCAAGAAACAGCACAATGCCCTAGGAAGTGGCATGTGTGATTCAGCTTGGCATTTTCCCCTCTAAATCAAGGCTGTTCAACTGACGACTCTCCAGTCACATGCAGCCCCTAAGGAGTTAACCGCCAGCACCCATGTTCCAGGTCTGAACATGGCTCCCTCCACTGCTCTCCTTCTGCTCCTGCCAGAGTCTCTGGGCTCAGCCTCTCTCCTTCAGCTTCTGCTTCCTGCTCCTGCCCTTGGGGGCAGGCTGGGGTGGGGGGGTGCATGGGGCTAGGGAGCTGCGGCGGGGACAGACCTGGAGAGGTGGAGCAGGGGGTTACCTGCCATGCGGTATTGTAAAGGACAGTGGGCCACAGTGTGGTGGTGGGAAGGATGCCTCACTGCATGCGGCCACAGCCACTCAGAAGTTAGACCACCTTGCGCTAAATGACTATGGAACCAGGGTCCAGAAAGTGAGAAGAGGCACACTTCTGCCTTATGATACTTTTTTCCTCAGATACAAAATTGAGGTCATGTCCGTTTGAGGTCATTAAGGCTAGGGACAGACATTACACATAAACCGGTTTAAGAGATCAGAAACTGGTTTAAACCTGTAACAGAACAGATGTTCAGTGCACATAAACCAGTTTGAAAATGACTGAAACAGATTTGAGATGAGCCTGGTTGAATGTAGTATCAGACTTAACTGATTTGGCTCAAATTGGTTTATGCAATGTCTGTCCCAGACTCCTTGCTGGTTTAAGATAAACCAGACACTCTGTGTGCGTGTGTTTGTGGCACTCAGCAAATCAGGGAGGGGACAAACAGCACAATGGCAAGTAGGGCAGAAAGCAGAACAGCAGATGGGGCAGGGAGTACAGAGAAGGAAGTGAAAAGAAGGACAGCATATTGGGTAGGGGGCACAGGGCAGGAAGCAGAAAGCAAAGCAGCAGATTGGGCAGGGGAAATGGATTAGATTGGCACTTGAAGAGGATGCAGGGCTAATCTGTGGCATGCCTGGCAAAAAGGTTGCCCCCTGCTGCAATAGATGCATCATGGATAGCTTGTGCTTTCAAGTCTTACATTCCCTTCACTGGTGCCCTCAAGAAGAAAGAAATATTGTTGAGGCATGCTGGTAAATACAGAAAATTAGATGAGGGAGCAGCAGACATTTAACTTTCCACAGTATAATTGCCCAGAAACATCTTGTTAAAATATAGAGGCTGTCAGTGAGACAAAGCAACAAAGACGTAGGTTTCATTGATCAGGAGCTTCAGTTGTTAGTAAGAGCAGATTTACCTTTCCCCTATTACATTCAGCAGTAAGCAGCTTAGAAAAAATCCTGATGGCAAAATAAATTTGAATAAAAAAAAGAAGCTACCTAAGAAACATCAGTGTGGTTTTAATGTTATTTTCTTATACCAAAAACTGGCACATGTACACAGAGCTGTTCCCCTCACATACCTACTCTCCTGACTTATTTTCTATTGGCTCTAGGCATAGCCGGTCAATTTTAACATGGCTCCATGGAGCAAATCCAGCTTTCTTCTTTAAGGCTGAGGTCCATCAGGGTGTGGAACTGGTTTTGTGTTGGTGCATAAAAAAGGGGGATTGAATGCCAGAATGCAACTAATACTACAACTGCTGCATAGTGTAGGGTCCAGCTCCATGAATATCCCTGCATTCAGGAGGAGGTACAACATAAGGAAGGAGACAGGGGCAGATACAACATAGGGAAGAAGCCTCCTACAGAGACACTTAAATGTTATCCTTCTACATCTCCCTTTCTCTCCTTCCCCTGATTTACTGCTCCCTGGGGCTGAAAGGGGGGCCCATCATGTGGCCCCAAAGCTCCCTTCTTTGAAATCCATCCTTCTTGCTCCAGGAACCCATATGACTACTTTGGCTGGACGCTGGGAAGTAGATATATAACATTGTAAACCCACTTATTAGAGTGAAAAACAAAGTATTGTGGTTACAATGCAGCTTTCAAAAAAATCACTCAGAAATGGAGCTCAGGGAACTGTGATTAAAATTGAGAATGCGCCCATGTGTGAATGTCATGATATGGAACAAACAAAATCTTATTGAATGAAAAGCAGCTATGAAATAACACCAAATGGACTACACCCTGGGGAAAACCAGCTTGGGTTTTTTACTTCTGCTTCGAATTTGGAGTTAAACCTAAAACCAAATCATGCAAGCCTAATACTATTGCTTTCTGTAAGTGCTGGCAGAATGCTGTAAAACCATTACCAAGAATATTCATTCCCATTTTAAAACTCATTCTCAACTGTGCATGTGACCTTTGTGAGTTTGCCTTCTACAGAGGTCTATGCAATCAACTGCTGCAGAAACTGACTTTTAGGTTCTGTACATGAGAGTCCATAGAAAACAGACGTGAGGTTTGTACATGCCAGCATTCACATCAGAAATGCTCAAGTCAGGGAGAAAAAGCAACCTCTTGAGACTCTAAAGTAATGTTCAGACATTCAGTTTCTTTTGGGAGAGTCACTGCTCTCCCAGAAGGAACTACAAATGTCCAGGATTTTTTCTCCCAGAGCAAAAATGGCTGCTCTAAGAGAAAAATAATCTGGGAACAACCAGGAGAGCTTTTGGGAGAATGAATATCTGTACACATTCTCTTCTGACAGAAGCCACAGCACAGTCCTCCAGCATCCCAGAGTGCTTTGCTTCTGCCCCCTGTCTCTCCCTGGGAGATAATGTGTTGTTCACTGGACTGTGCTGGTTCAGCTGAGTAGGGAAAAGATCACAACATGGCCCCTTCACAATCTCACATTGTCTCTCTGCAAGGAAACATAGGCAGCCTGAGTAGGCAAATAAGGGCTGCCCTGTGTACTGCTGCCTTCTGTCTCCAAGGGAACCTACAGAGCACGTCAAGATGTATATGCAGGGGCCCCCTGGCTGCACAGGATTAGCAGGGCAGGCTCTCTACTGTTGAGGCTCAGCATTCAAATATCTGTTCAGGTGTCTCTAAGTAAGTGCTGGCTCCTACCCTGGGGATCTTTAAGAAGAGGCTTCCTGGCTGGACTCATTTGAGTCCAGTCTTTTCTCCTGCCCAGGCGGGGGGTTGGACTTGAAGATCTGCAAGGTCCCTTCTGACCCTATTTCTATGATTCTATGAAGTTTTTCTGTCAGGTAATTTGAACATGTGCATACAGCCTTGTTATACTTATCACTACTATACAACTTAGCCTGCATATCAAATATTCATAATTAAGACAAAGTATTAGAAATAAGATAGATTCTTGGCTGGCATAAGCTGCTATAGATTAACTGAAATCAAAGGAATTATGTAAATTTCTACTAATTGAGCATTTGCCCTATTTGCTAACAAACAAACAAGTCCTAACCTATTTTCAAATAATGAATGAATTTGCACCACCTGCAGATCTAATTTACATCTCATATTGCTATATCTATTGTCACCATTCTACTCTATCCTTTTCTTCTTATGGACTTGTAGGTAAGTCGCAGGACTGGGAGTCAGAGGGCCAGGATTCCATCCAAACTTTTCCCTTTGGACAATCACTTGATCTCTGTACCTTAATTCCTTCATTTATAAAGAAAGGGCAACAATGCTTATCCACTTCCCAGGGGTAGTACAATGCTCAGCTTAATTACTACTTGTAATGGACAATGAGCTTCTTGAAAGGCAAGTGCATTTATTTTACAGCTGAATAGTGTAGAAGCGTAAGCTTTGAAAAGGCTCTATTTTTGTCCTGAGGTATTAG